GGTATATCTAGTCTAGTGAAAAAAGGGACCAGGGGAGACATGATAGCAGTCTTCCAGTATTTGAGGGGCTGCCACAAAGAAGAAGGGAGTCCACCTCTTCTCCAAAGCACCTGAAGGCAGGAGAAGAAGCAACGGATGGAAACTTATCAAGGAGAGAAGAAACCTGGAACTAAGGAGGAATTTCCTGACAGTGACGACAATTAACCAGTGGAACAGCTGGTTCCGACTCGGTTAAATATCCGATCGTGGACAACAAAAGAGGCTTTAACAGAATAACAGACTTGGAAGGGGCCTCGGGAGGTCTTCTAGTCCAACCCCCTGCTCAAGCAGGAAAACCTATATGGGTAGTTCCGGACTTACGACCGTAGCTGAGCCCAAAATTTCTCTTGTTAAGTGAGATACTTGTTAAGTGAGTTTTGCCCGGTTTTACGACTTTTCTTGCCAGAGTTGTTAAGTGAATCACTGCAGTTGATAAGTTAGTAACCTGGTTGTTAAGCGAATCTGGTCAGGTGGTCGCAAAAGGGGATCAGGTGACCCCCGGGACACTGCAACGGTCATAAATAATGCCAAGCATGTGACCACGGGGGATGCTGCAACGGTCGTAAGTGTGAAAAACGGTCATAAGTCCCTTTTTTCAGTGCCATTGTAACTTTGAATGGTCACTAAATGAACCGTTGTAAGTCAAGGACTGTCTGTAACACTCCAGACCAATGGCTGTCAAATTTTTTCTTAAAAAAACCTCCAGTGATGAAAAGCACTCACAACTTCTGGTGGCAAGCTGTTCCACTGGTCCTCACTGTCAGGAAGTTTCTCCTTAATTCCAGGTTGCTTCTCTCCTGGGTTAGTTTCCATCCGTTGCTCCATCGTCTTGTTTTCTGGGTGCTTTGGAGAATAGTTTGGCCCCCCAACCCTTCTTTGGGGCAGCCCCCCCAAATATTGGAACGCTGCTGTCATGTCACCCCTGGTCCTCCTTTTCATTTAATAAACATTTTTTTAAAAAAAAAAAAAATTGGTTTATATGCCGCCCTTCTCCGGAGACTCAGGGCGGCTTGCAATGCGTTAAGCAATAGCCTTCATACTTTTTGTATATTTTATACAAAGTCAGCTTATTGCCCCCACAAACTGGGTCCTCAATTTACCTACCTTAGAAAGGATGGAAGGCTGAGTCGACCTTGAGCCTGGTGAGATTTGAACCAGCAGTAAATTGCAGGCAGCTGTGTTAATAACAGGGTGCTTAGACCACTGTACTATGAAGGCTCTATTAAATGAAAATATTAAATAAATATATTTATATTAATTTATATTAATAAACGTATTAAATAAATAGTTAAATAATTATCTTTTTTATTCCTGCAGAAAGCCTCCTTGGAACTTGCCTACGAACAGTTCATAAACAGGACGGGATTTTACGCCTGGCATTGGGTTTTTTTTTTTTTTCTTCTTTTTCTGCACAACACAGAAAGCATTGTTACTTGGCCTGGTAAAAGGCAGAACTCAGCATTGCTAGAAAACCCTCATTGTTTAAAAAAAGGGTTGTGCACTGCCCTGAAGCTCACGCACGCATGCAGAAGGTGGGACGGAGCTCTGGCAAGTCCCGGAGAGAGCTGCCTTTTGTGACATCACAGCTGCTGGTTGTTTAAATCGGGGTTGTCTTCCCTGATTGATAATAGCCTTCATAGGCCTTTTGGGAAGAAAGGATCCCAGGCATTTAGTCTAATTAACCTGATAATTCCCTTTTAATGGAAGGCACAAGAGAACCCTCTTCCATCTGCAATGATTGGGCCTTTTAAATGCTCCTTCTGCATCTTCCCGCTGCAAACCTTAAATGCAAGGTGAATGGATGCAACATGCTTATTTATATTTCCCACTCCTTAACTGCCTCCCTCGGCTTTACAAAATTGTGTTTGTAAACACGCGCATCTCGCCAATTTCATCCATCCGGCTGACAAAAAGCCCATGAAAGAAGCATGATGTTTTTAAGCCAGGTAAACAAGCATAGGTGGCTGAGCTATGAGGGTCCCTTCCAATTTGATAGGAGGGTATAAAAGACCGAGGGACACCCCCCACCTACACATATGCACTGGGCCTGTGCAAAAAAATCATGTTTGTCTTCTGATGAAAGGAAGTAAGATGCTCTTAAAAACTGCAGCAGTAAATGAAAATTCACAGAGGAGAGGTATCGCGGGTGCTTGCAAAATCCCACCTCTGCCCGGTTTACATGTTGATTCATTTTTTTTACTTTTAAAGTGCTGGTTTTTAATACTTTGCATTTTTATTCTCCAAAGCACCCGAAGGCAGGAGAAGAAGCAACAACGGATGGAAACTAATCAAGGAGAGAAGCAACCTGGAAATTAAGGAGAAATTTTTTTGAGAACAATTTCACCAGCTTGCCTCCAGAAATTGTGAATGCTCCAACGCTGGAAGTTTTTAAGAAGAGATTGGGCAATCGTTTTTATGAAATAGTAGAGGGTTTCTTGCCTAAGCAGGGGGTTGGACTAGAAGACCTCCAAGGTCCCTTCCAACTATGCTATTCTATATTCTGTATGGTTGTGTTATAGTGACGTGAGCCACCTGACAGTGAGATATCATATAGATTTAAGTAACCGAACACGAGAACTGGGCTCCAGATGTGGAAAAAATGTGAAAAGAATTCAAAATTTGAAAAGAAGCCAGGAAAAATGTCCATCTCAACGGTGAAGGGACCCAGGGCAAAAATATGCACAGCCAAAAAGGCTCCACACCCATTTGCGCTACTCAGGTGACCCTGAGGACACAGGTAAACCTCCAAGCGGCCTCAACGACTCTCGAAAAGGAGGAAAAAAATAACCAGATGTCTACAAGGACAGCTTCCATTTCAAATCCTTCCATTCTCCAGGTCAGAGCGGAAGAAGCTTCTTGGATGAGAAGCGAAACGTCTTCAAAGGAAGAAAAAAAAATAGAAAGTCCAGTTGCCTCTCGAAAAAGGAACTTTGGGATAACCGTGACCTGGAGGATGGAGAATCCTCATAGACCAGAGGTCTCCAATCTTGGCAGCTTTAAGACTTGGGGACTTCAACTCCCAGAATTCTCCAGCCAGCATGACCAGCCAGCATGACCTACAAAATCCCTTCCAACTCTGTTAATCCCATTCTAACAACCACTTTTACTTATGATTTTTTTTTTGGAGAGGTGGTGAGCAAAGAGGAAGCAGAAAGGCCCAAAAAAACCCAGAAAAATGTAGGTGCGCCTATAGGGAGGACACGACCAGCCTCTGCTTCAATGTACAAAATTTTTAATTTTCTTTAAAATTAACCCCCCTAGCCTAGGAGGAGGACAGGAACCTATTTATTTATATCTCACCTTTATTATTATTATTTTTTACGAAGAACTCAAGGTAGCCAACACAGCCAACATTCACTTACCTCCTCTCCTATTTTCCTCACAAGAAGAGATGGTGAGATGGGCCTGGGCTGAGAGAGAAGGACTGGCCCAAAGTCACCCAGCTGCCATTCATGGCTAAGGCAGGACTAGAACTCACCATCTCCTGGTGATTAACTCAGGTTCACCCAGCAGCTTTTATGCCTAAGGCAGGACTAGAACTCACTGACTTCTGGGGTGATTGGCTAAAGTCGCTCAGCTGGCTTTCATGGCTAAGGGGGAACTAGAACTCACCATCTCCTGGTGATTTAACTCAGGTTCACCCAGCAGCTTTCACCCCTAAGGTGGGACTAGAACTCACGGTCTCCCATTTTCTAGCCTGGCTTAGACCAAACATGGCTTATTCCTTGGATAAGAAGGGCACCCAGACTGTTTCCTTTCCAGCCCCCCTGTACACATACACACACACTCACACACCTCTCAATAAATTCAACTACACCCCACTCAGAGGTGGTGTGCAACAGACACAAAGCCCCCTCAAAAGCTGTGCCAGACCCCACCTCCCCAATCAGCTGGCTGGCAATCACCAGATTCCCCCAACCCAGCTGGTGAGGAACGGGGCGTGCCAGCTTGCCACACATACATGGACACACTTTTTGCCCGTGTCCAAAGGACAGAACCCAGAGCAAGTGAACACCAGGTACGCAAACACACACCCAGCAAGGTGTCAAGGAAGAGGAACTCCCCGCTGCTGAATCAGGCCGGCCATTGCAAACACACCAGGGCTGTGCACACACACACCTCTCCAGAGATGTGTGCAAAACACACACACACACCCCTCATTTGCAGCCCAACATTTGGGTGACCTGGAGGTGCTCCCTTCCACCCACCCCAAGCAATGCTGCATCCGAGGGGCCAGGTAGGTTTAAGGATTGCACAGCCACACCCGCTCCTTCCTCTCTGGGCAGCCTTTCTTTCCCCTCTCCCTCCTTCCAAGGAGGATGCATGTTGCGGCAACACACACAGACACACACACACAGACACACCGCGGTGCCCAGCCCCCCCCACCCTTTCACCCAGGGGGCACCCCAGGCACCGCACACCTGGCCAGGTGCAGAGGAAAGGTGCATCTTTTGCAAAGGGGAGGGGGAAGGAAAGGGGGAGGCCAGAACATGCCCCTGAAACCCCCCTCCCCGCGCCTGTTTTTCCAACCCCCCCACCCAGACCAGCCCCCCCACCCACGTCCCCCCCCCCCCCCGGTTGGAATTACCCCAAATTGCGTTGAACCGCAGAATCGCAGGCAAAACGGACGGGCTAATATAATCCGCGAAGCTTTTCCCAAACTACAACTCCCGGCATGCCTCGCCGCCGCCAGTCATCGCGGGGCCGCTGGGAGTTGTAGTTCGGATTCGGCCCCCGGCACGTTCGTTCGTTCGTTCGTTGGCTCGCTTTGCGGGCTCTCTCTCTCCCTCTCTCCCCGCAGCCCGGCTTGGGGAGGCTCTTTCCAGGCACGCCGGCCCCAGGCAGACACGCGTGTACAAAGACACGCGTGCATTCAGACGTGCTTTCTCTCCTCTCTCTTCCCCCCCCACTCGCAGACTGGGCAAAAGGCCCGGGTTCGAGCCCAGCCGGCGCAGGCTCACCTCGGGCTGCTGCGGATCCGTTCGAGCCTCGCCTCGCCTCGCCGCTCCGGCCGATGTGCCTCGCTCGGCCGCTCCCGGGCCGGCATCGGGCGACGATGGGGCGGGGCGAGGGGCGGGGCGGCTCCGCCCTAGTGGGCGGGGCGTCGGCGGAGGGTGTAGGGAAGGAGGGTGGGCGCGAGGGGCGGGGCTTGTGCCGGTCGCCCAGGCAACGGCGGAGGGCGCCGCCTCCCTCTTGAGGCGGGAGCGGCTCGCTGAGGGGAAAAAAGAGAGAAAGAGAGCCGCGCGGCGGCTGAGGGGAGAGGAGGGTTTTCTGCTGGGCTCCCCGCTGAGGGAGGGGTCGTTTGTGTCAGAATTGGGGGTCCCCCGTGTGGGGCTCCCCTCAGAGAAGGCCGTCTTGGTCATATTAAGATGTGTTTTGTTTTTTTCAGGAGGCAACTGGACTTTCTTGTTTGTTTGTTTTTTCTTTGAAGACGTTTCGCTTCTCATCCAAGAAGCTTTTTCCGCTCTGACAGGATGGTGAGGAATGGAAGAAGCTCCTTGGATGAGAAGCGAAACGTCTTCACAGGAAAAAAAAACAAGAAAGTCCAGTTTCCTCCTGAAAAAAAGCACCCTTGGGACAACCGTGACCTGGATGACTGGAGAATCTCCACGGAACTTTAGGGTTTTTTTTTTATCCTAAGTTTGGAGATGGGCAGCTGCTCTGAGGGAAAATGCCGCCTCAGGTTTTCACGCCGGCCCTTCAGAGTAGGCCAGCCTAAGAAACCAAAGAATGCTAATAACACTCTGTTCACTTTTATTGAAATAAAATCTTGCCAGCCTCAGTGTGCTTCTTCCCTCCAGAGAAGTAGGGAGGGTCACATCTGAGGCACTTTCCCAGACTGCATTTCTGCCTCAGGCGTCAAGGATCTCTTGGTGGTGGCTTTTCCTCCAGTCTCTCAAATAGCTTTTATAGCCCATTAGGCTCACAGGCAGGAAGCCTTTGACTTAAGACCACAACTAGGTCTTCTGTCGCTAAGCAATGTGGTCATTAACTGAATTGTGCCTGATTTTACAACCTTTTTGGAGTTGTGGTTGTTAAGTGAATCCCACGGTCATTAGGAGAATCTCATTAAGTTGTTCAGCGAGTCACATCCAATTTTACAATCTCTTTGCCACAGTTGTTCAGCAAATCATGCTGTTGTTAAATGAATCATGTGGTTGTTAAGTGAATCCAGCTTCCCCCATTGACTTTGCTCATCAGAAGGTCACAAATGGCGATCACATGACCCGCCCGGATGCTACAACTGTCATAAATACATGCCAGTTGCCAAGTGGCCAAATTTTGATCATGTGATCCTGGTTGTAAGTGTGAGGATCAGTCGAAAGTCCCTTTTTTCAGGACCATTATGTTCATTCTTTTATGATTCGATTTGATTTCTATAGCCGACCAGCTCAAGCAAATGACTGGGCGGCTTATAATATATTTTTTATATATAATTTCAAAACAGTTGCTAAATGAATGGCTATAAATCAAGGACTCCCTATGGTCTTAATCCTAGTCCTAATCTTAGTTCTAGATTTAGCCTTAATGTTAATCTTATCCAAGCAGTTCAGGAAAAAACAAAAGGGAAAGAATAAGAGAAAAGAATAAGAGGAATTTAGTAACCCCTTTTTCAACCCACACATTTATTCTGAGATCATTTTTAAAAATTAGTTTTTAAAGACCTGAGATCTTTGACTTAGTAAAATCGGAATTGCTGGATTGCTTCACCTGCTAGTGGGGTGGGGGGTGGGATGGCTATTTAAGAGAATGAATATCTCATAAGAATAAGAAAATTTATTTATTTATTTATAAATTTATTTTCCCAATATCCCATTATGTCTAATTGCCTCCAAAACTGGGAGTAAAATATTTCCCAGAATTTCAGAGTTGCCAGCATAATAACTCTAACTGTGCCCAAAATGGTACATAATCTCTATCATTTTAATACCAATAAAAACAGGAGCTAATAAATACGCTTAATGATATAATATGATAATAATTTGGAAGATTAAAGCCCCCATGGGAACCACAATGCAGAAAGAGATAATCTCAGAGTCTTTACCATTCTTTACAAATTTAATCATTGCATTATCAAAAATATCTAAGGGGAATTAACGTAGGTTAAACTATATAACCATTGTGAAGTTATACATATTCATTGTTAGCACATTCAATTCTTCTCCATCGTCTCAGAGGGATTGTTAACCATCTATTAATATCACTATTAATTTGTGCAATAGCATTTGAGATATTCAGGTCTATCAACAGAGATTTCGCTTGAATAATTATCCCCAAATATTAATAGAAAATCCATTTTTCTAGCAAACAGACAACTGAGCAGTTTCTCTGAGGCAATTGGGTCTTAGGTTCATACTCTTCAGACATCCTTCATTAATTCCCAAACCGAATAAGAAATAGTCAAATAACATCGAATACTATAATTTATCTATGAAAACTAAGATGCATCATGATGTGTCCCTTGGAAACAGGTTCCCTGGCCTTGTTGGACAATTATTGTATACAGGTAGTTCTCAATTTACGAACAGTTCGTTTAGTGACCATTCAAAGTTACAACAGCACTGAAAAAAGTGAGTTATGACCTTCCCCATGGTCACATGATCAAAATTCAGATGCTTGGCAGTCTCCCAGGGTCATGTGATCTCTTTTTGCGACTCTCTTGACAAGTAAAGTCAATGGGGAAGCCAGATTCACTTAACAACCAACTCCCTAATTTAACGACTGTAGTGATTCACTTAACAATTGTGGCAAGGAAGGTCGTAAAGTGAGGCAAAACTCATTTAACAAATGTTTTGCTTAGCAACAAAATTTGGGGTTTTATTGTGGTCGTAAGGCAAGGACCACCTGTACATTTCAATTTTGCCCATCATAAAGATAGCCCTTGACTTACAATATTCATTTAGTGACTGAAATTACAAGGGCAGGGGAAAAGAGTCGGCTACCCTCCTGCTAGCCCCACTCCTGGGGGGCTGTTGGGGAGACTGGCCAAGTGCAGCCACTTCCCAGTCCTTGACCGGTGCAAAATGCCGGCGTAAAATCCGGACAAGAGGAGAGGAGACGGCTTCAGTGGTAATTCTACGTAAGGTTAAACATACTAAGCCACAAAGAATGTCGGTTTTTTCCTGAACTCCCCCCCCCCAAAAGAAAATGCCCTTCCCGATAGTTAACTTAAACACTAGTGCTACAGTACATGGAGTCCTCGACTTACGGTCACAATTGTGCCCAAAATTTCTGTTGTTAAGTGAGTTTTGCCCCATTTTACGATCTTTCTCGCCATCGTTCTTAAGTGAATCATTGCAGCTGACAAGTTAGCAACCTGGTTGTTAAGTGAATCCGGCTTCCCCATGGATTTTGCTTGTCAGAAGAAGGTCGCAAAAGGGGATCACATGACCCTGGGACACGGCAACGGTCATAAGTACGAAGCAGTTGCCAAACGTCTGAATTTTAATCACATGATCAAGGGGATGCCACCAATGTCGTAAGTGTGAAAAATGGTGGCAAGTTATTTTTTTCGGCACCGCTGTAATTTTGAACGGTCACTAAATGAACCGATGTAAGTCCAGGACTATCCTATATTTACCTTTCTGGGCTTCTAATGCCCAAGGACGAAACTTGATTCCGTTTATTTTCCCAAACAAAATTTGCCCCGTAGTTTAAAATCCTAAAGGTGGAAGAAGCTGCTTAAGCCACCGGATTCCTTTCTCAGTGCAAGAATCCAAACCTTAGACTGTGAACCTATGGCACGTGTTCCATAGGTGGCACATGGATAAGGTGACCAGATTTTAACATTGGTAAAGAGGGACACCATTGTGGGCGTGGCTTATTTTGTGGGTGTGGCTTGGATGTCATATGACTGGGTGGGCGTGGCTAGCTGGTCATGTGACCGGGTGGCCGTGGCTATGTGTATAGGGACTATTCAGAGGGCTGAAAAAAGTCATTTCTGACAGGTCCTCGCACTTTTGACTGGTCCTCACACTTATGACCATCCTCACATTTATGCCCGTGCAGCTTTCTTAACAACCATGTCACTCATTTCACAACTGCTTCTCTTCACCATGGTGACAAGATAGGGCAAAAAACGTAAAATGTGAGGAGAGTCGTAAGTTTGAGGACTGGTCAAAAGTGCGAGGACCAGTCAGAAATAACTTTTTCAGCCCTCTGAGTAGTCCATATCCACAAAAGGACTACCCAGAGGGCTGAAAAAAGTCATTTCTGACTGGGTCTCGCACTTTTGACCGGTCCTCACACTTATGACCATCCTCACATTTATGCCCATTCAGCTTTCTTAACAACCATGTCCACTCATTTCACAACTGCTTCTCTTCACCATGGTGACAAGATAGGGCAAAAACGTAAAATGTGAGGACAGTCATAAGTTTGAGGACTGGTCAAAAGTGCGAGGACCAGTCAAAAATAACTTTTTCAGCCCTCTGAGTAGTCCATATGCATAAAAGGATACAGCAATAGAGAGGGATGAAGGAAGGGAAGGGAAATTAGAGTAGGAGTGACGGTTAAGAGAGGGAGGAAGAGAGGAGGAGAAGGAGAAAGGAAGAGGAAGTAGGGAGGAGAAAAAGAGGGTGGGGGGAAGAGAAAGTAAGAAGGAAGAAAAGAGAGAGGTGGTAGGTTTGAGGAGAAAGATTGCTGTACAATAAAAAAGATGAGAGGGAAGAAAGCCAACCCCAAACAAATATAAAGATATTAAGATAAAGAATGAATTGTTAAACTTTAAAGAATAAAAGAGAACAAATATAAATAAAAAGCAATAATTAGAAACACACATACAAACATACAATGTATTTTCTTTGAACAGAGTATTTGGCTGGTTCACAAATTTAAACAGTGTTTAGTAATTTCAATTAAATTTACAATTTCTATATTTCCTTTTTGCCATATTTATTCCTCATCTATTTTTGGAAAAAACCAATATTACCCTTCATCCTCATCTCTAATCTTAATCAAATTCAATTTTTCCCTTCTATTCTATATTATACCCCTTCCCATTGTCATCTATTTTTATATCCATCCTCACATTGGTTAATTATGTAATTATG